CCGTGACTGCGAGTCAGACAGGATGAGAAGGTCTGTTTTTCGGTAGGGCATTCAATGGCATCGTGAGACCATCTGCTAGCAGTCTCTGAACCACCTTAAATGTAAGAGGTCCTGTTGCGAGACCATGATTTTTGCTCAATATCTACGGAAAATTTCGTTGACTACTTATTCAGATTATAGTAATATCATTGATCAAATTGACAAATACCAGTTTACCGTGTAGACAACAAGCCCGCCATTAGATGTGCCTTGGCAATCACAGCACCACTGCCCATCACGATTGTGAATGCGCTGGGAAGTAGTGAAGGATTGCCGTCTGATGCGCCAGACCAGGTTTCGAATCGTGTTGGGAAAGTGAATGGAAAGTAGAGGAGGAGAAAGAATGGCTGCGTGTCATTCAATGGCATCATGAGACCTTAATTCTAAGAGTTCATTACAAGACTGGAATTTTTACTGAATATTTCGTCACATGCTCATTTAGATTATGGTAACATCGTTGATGGAAATGACAGATACTGGTTTGACCTGTATGCGGCAGTATTCCATTAAACATTTGTTGTAAGGTCTGGCCTCCATGGCTGTCTGTATGTTTGCCTGTACGTTTGTGTGTCTATGTGTGCTGCAAATTGGCAAATTATGGCCGCCTGACGTCCGAGGCATTGTTTCAAATTATATTGGGAAACCAGGCCAGCTTTAAAGTACAGTAGGAGAAAGCCTTTTGGAGGAGGCGATTTTGCTGCATTTAGTTGTAGGCAATTCAACTAATGATACCAAACCCGGATGAACCGAGTTCTTCATTTACAAAGAGAAAATGACTGTGACGATTCTGACAGAAGCTCAACAAGGCTTATTACCAACTACAACTTCATCTTTGTCTCGCCCCAACAACCAGACTCGGTGCAAGAGCTGTATGAGGAGATTATGCTTTAAGAGATTGTTCCCACAGCCACTTTTTCAAGTACTCTTTCGAGCGATGCATTCAACAGGAGGCCAGGCAGAAAGGTCGAGCCGGTTCCGATGGATAAAACCGTTGAGCTATTGTGACGAATTTTCATTCCGAAGGAAAAGTTGATTAAACGCAATTCGTGAAATAGTTTCCCCGGAAACCGAAAAAGACTTTGTGAACACATCCTCGGCTCACCGTCTTGCGACCCCAATGAGCCTGTGCCAAGCTTTCATCTGTCATGTAGCAGACATAGTTAGAGCAATATGAGATGTATTCACCCTATTTCGTGTAAGCTGATGAAGGACTGATAGTAGTATTTTTCCCACAATGATATGAGTGGAGCTGACGTTTCCATTGAATTTCACATTCCCCTTCTTTCTCAAAAGTTGTTCTCATTCAAGCACCAGTGGACTACAGTTTCGACCTCGCATCGGTCTTATCAACACTCTCAGCGGGAGTCGAACCATGACAGTGCAGAATGGGAGCTTGACACGTTAACCACTCGACCACATTGCCACGAGTGACCTTGGGTCATAGGGCAAATGTGAATTACGAGGAAGTCCAGAACTTTTCCCATATCACATTCTTTGGTGGGATTGCCGATGAAGCAAACGTATATTTGCTATAACAATCGACTACGTTACTTGATTTTTCGCATTTAAGTATTGTTTCGAGACTATCAGTAAATCAGTAATATGAGATGTATTCACTAATGCCTTATTATATTTGGTGTGTTTTCTCGTGAAGTATGGATTCTTGCTGTGACTATGCCTGCCCAATGACAGAGGAAAGGTTAGCACGATGAGTCGAGAACGTGTTGTCAGAATCCAACAGTTTTCACGCCAATCCATAACACTAATGGACTAGTAAAAACCCAGTTTTTCTTCGTTTATATACAAAATAGTAAGGCAAACATAATCGCTTTGGACTATCTTTTAACAGATTTAAACAGCCCAACAATTTGTCTCTGAAGCCTAAAACCCGCAAAAGTAGAATTGCATAAATTGTTTTGTCAGCCTAATCCGCTCAAGGTGCTTTAAGAACTGATAGTTCAATTGTTCTACAATGCAATGATTAGGCCTCATGGTACAAGTGAATTTCACCTGGTCTTGCCTCCCAAAATGATGTCTCATTCAGGTTAGCTTACAATTTCGAATTCGCCTCATCGTCTCATCAACATCCCCAACAGGATTCTGTACCAGATCACATCTGCCCTGCCACCCACAGGAGTTATGGTGGCGTGGTGACTTCGTCATGATGCTCGCAACTCGGTATCGAATCCCGTTGATGGTGCTGATGAGACCTGGACTTCAGTCCAGTCCAGCCAGCAAGAGATCGCCATTTGAGGAGGCAAGATCAAGCAAAGTTGTTTCACTTTGCCTTTGTCGTATGGTCAGAAAGACCGAAATGAAAGCACTTTGTCTCGAGTCTATCCAAGCTCTTCAGCATGCAATTGTGAACATAAAGTATCCCCAACAATCGAAGGTATGAAAAGCAAGTTGGTGCGGCCTTTTGTATGGTCGCGTTCCCCATTCGTTGTATAGTAGCTGTTTGACCTTGTTTTCACAACTTGGTCATATTGGCAGGAAGGCCTGGAGGAACGTGCCTTGTCCGGAGTCCATAGAATGCAGATTTCATGATTAGGGAGTATGTGAAGATGTCTCATGAAATCCGCTCAAAAAGGCACACCAGGACAGGAGAGATGCCACAACTGTTTAGCAGACAACTAGTCAAAGGATCGACTTCACTTGTATCTTTGACGACCCATAATGTGGTGCTAAGAATGGTAAGTCTCACTGACGATGCCGGCGAAACGTCTGTGAATGTACCAAGTCGACGATCCGACTCTGGAAATGATCATGCATTCTATGGGCTCCGGAATATGTGCGTTGCTCTAGGTCATCCTGCCAATATGACCAAGTTTAGAATAAAAGGTCAAACAAATATTGTCCACGACAATGTTATCTTAATGGTTTTAATAAATTTTTGAACCTATTTCCATTATGAGTGAAACTGTTTGGTGAAGAGATTTGAAGATTGATTTCACCAAAAGACGACTACGGATTCATCTTGACCAGCTGTCGATTGGCTTTACTGGAACATTCATGCTGACGCTGTTTCCGAGGCAATCTCCTTCGGCTTGACCAGCTGTCGATTGGCTTTACTGGAACATTCATGCTGACGCTGTTTCCGAGGCAATCTCCTTCGATTCCTCTGCCTGCAAAAAGGAGGCGGTGCAACTAGTCTTTTATTGTCTTGGTTCTAATCATAGTCACTTCTCCGTATTTTTAGTCCACTCTTTCACTATCGCATTGAGACCAAAAACAAAAATAGGTTCATCAACAAAAAC